AAGAGGACCAGACACACATACACACAAGTAAATTCCCCCTGGACTTTGCTCAGGAGTTATGCTGACCTATATGGGTGGACAAATTTAACTGACCCATGCTCAATGCCACTAGGTGACCCTCTTTTCCAGACCCTGAGGGCCTACTATACTGGATATGCAAATAATTACCTTACTCTGTTCTGCCTTTACACTGATTTGGACCTTGCTATTTGTCCTGGCTTACTCCTGCCTTCTGAATATTTTCAGCTAAATGTGCCCATATTACCTACCATTATCAGAACCCTAAATAGTCAACATCCAACATTAGCACCAACCTTGAAACAGATAAAGATTACCTAGTTTCCACCAAGGAAACATTCCAATGGGGCTCCAGGGGTCTCACTCTTGGTAGGAGTAGGGTGCTAGTTATGTGGAATTTGAAACAAATCTATAAATTGGGGGGAAATCTTGGATTCTGTGGCCAGCCAGACCTCCCAAGGGATCAGAGAGATAGAAACAACTCTCCAAAATATGGACAATAACATGCATGTCCAACAAGAGCACCTGATGGGGCACCACGCAGCTTTACATCTCCTCTTTGCCCACGGGCTGGTGGGCACGGCTGAATAAAAATGAACGTTGTCCCCATCTTTCACCTGATTTTGCTACTACAGAAAGCTTAATTCAAAAGGCAGCTGATACTGCTGTTTCTTTAGATACTGCCACAAAAAACGTTTAAGAAATTTCTCAAAGGAAAGAAGCACATGATGTGTTTATGGGAACAGTTAACAGCTTATAAGCACCCTAAATAGTGGATGGGAACCTTCGTTTTTCCAAGATTTTCTGATCTTTTTTTCCCCCCCACAAATAGGATTCTTTATTTGTCATTATTAAAAGCCTGAACTTTAGACAGATTCTTGGACTGGCGGTTCATATCCATCAGCTCGTTCAACATTACCATTACCGCCTGCCTCATGCCCAGTAGCTTTTCCAGAACTACAACCTTCACCGTGAAGCCTCATGTGTTTTCCCAATTCAAACTTGGGTTCCTTCAGCATTTTTACTTTTCTAGGACATCATGGACAGGATAAATAGAGTGGCATGCCTTTTCTATGTCTTTTCCAATGCTGTCTGGAATCAATTTATTGACAATTTCTTTCAAGTCATTCGTATGCACCTCTCTGATCATGATTTCCATCATTTTCTTCTGGACTTGGCAAACCTGCTGGTGCTGGGCATAAAAGGTCTTCTGAATCTGATTGTTGCATTTTTTAGTAAAACTAACACAGGACAAATAAAGCAAATAATCATGGGTAGTCTCAACATAAGCTTCAATCACAGTCTGCCATTTTTTAACCATAGAACACATTTTGTCATGGGTAAGATCCATGCCATGGAAGTTAGGCAGTTTTTGCCCTGAACATCTTTAGTAATCAGCTTGAATTTTCCAAATGCAACTTCATTATTCTGCAGATCAGCAAGACTCACTTCAAACACATGACCTTAGAGACCATCAGATGCAATTTTGATTCCTTGAGTCCTGGCGACTGGTGTTTTTCCAGTATTTCTTATATCGAACATAGTAGGTGCCTTCACATCATACTAACTTTTAGAGAATGGATCAACTTTCTTCTTGGCTCCCTTTTTGCACTTTTCATAAGGCACTTGTTCTTGCCAACCACCATAGTGGTGCTCAGCGAGCCAAAAAGGCAAGGTTTTCTAACCTTTCTCTTTCTTCTACTGGGTCTCCACATTATTCTGACCTATGTTGCTAAAGCTAATAACAAAACTGGATACCTTTTTAAATCAGACCATTCTATAGAGTGAACTATGATTCTTTTTCTTTTTCCTTGCTTGTCTGATGCCCTGGCTAGAGTGCAGTTGTGTGATCATAGCTTACTACAATCTCAAATTCCTCGGCTCAGGCAATCCTCCTGCCTCAGCCTCCTGAATAGCTGGGCCTACAGGTGCTCACCATGTTGCCCAGCTAATTCTTCTATTTTTAGTAGAGATGAGGTTTTACTTTTGCTCAGGCTGGTCTTGAACTCCTAAGCTCAAGTGATCCTCCCACTTTAGCCTCCCAGAGTGCTAGGATTACAGGAGTGAACCACTACCCCTAGCCAACTATGGTGTTTAATCACCATCATTTCCCAAACAGACTATGACCAACTTGACTCAAATACTGTTAAACTATCTCTACTGCCTAAATTTTTCTGTTTGATTATGATCAATTTGGTTAGTAGGATCCCTATTAAGAAATATACTTGGTATCACTTCTTGATTTTACCATCCTGATAGTTTTCCTGTCAGAAGTTTTAAATGTTTGTACACTGACATCCACTGTACATTAAATGGTCTCACTTTGACTAGAACAACAAAAACGTAAAGAATCATTCAATTAACCTGACATTAAGACTTGTGATTTCCAAACAAGTCCATTTTGATGGTGAGAGAGTGTGGCATCAATGCACAACGTCTTGGTTAATTACTCAAAGTTGAGAAGCTGAACAAATTATGGGCATTGTTACACTTTACCTAAGGCTATCTTGTGTCATAAACTGCAAACTAATTAAGTATGTAAACAAACCAAAACCTACCTATCTTAGGAGCAGATATTTTTGGTAACTAGATCTTAGCAAATCACAGTCAACCAGTTAATCACAGCATGTCGAAACAATGCAAACACCTATCTGTAACCAATCAAGCTATTTCTGTATTTTACTTCCATATTCTCTCTATAAATACTTACTGCCAACATTGTAGAGCAGAGCTTTCTGAACCTCTTTTGGTTCCTTGCTCAAATAAACTCAAGTTACATTTATTCTGCCTCAGTTTTTCTTTTAACAACGGTTTATCACAGCCTCAACAGTTAAGAAACTTTAGTCAGTACATCTGGTAAGGATCAGTCACTGGTGACAGAGTCCCACAGGTTAAATTTTGGACAGGTTAAATTTGAGATACTGAAGGTACAGTTAAACAGATATGTCTAGTCAGTGGCTGGACTCAAAATAAAATTAGATAATATCACTTATTTAGGGGCCAAAAGATGATTCATGAGTGAAGGATACTGAGTAACGGCCACAAGAAGGAAAATCAGAAAAGCAAGGTGCCACAGAAGACAGTTTCAGGGATGGCAGCATGGACAGTATGAAGGACTGCAAAAGGGGTTATAAAATGTGGACAGAAAGTACCTGTTAAACTAGCAACTGGAACATGGGGATTTTCCACGGAGTGATAAAGAAAGAAAAGAACAAGGAACTGAAGGGTGCATAGCTCTTTTTGCTCACACTCAGAACTTGTTTGGCTACATTGAAGTGTTGCTGTGGGGCCACACCAGAGTTCTACACTAGATTCAGAAAAAATGGTTATCAAATACCAACTCTGTCAACTGTTCTGCGTGGTCCTAGTAAAGTTTCTCATGCTATTTGGGCCTTAGGGTCTTACTGATAAATCAGTGTATAACCACTTATTTCTTAGGGGTATATGAAACAAAGTGAGATAAAGCATATGAATGGACCTACGTGAAAGCCTAGAATGTCTATTCACTCATTCACAATTAAATATGGTGAATATAATATAAAAGTAACCTATTCAGTTTGATGGTTATAGTCACTGCGGTAAATACCAGTAATAAGATCCTTTACCTAATAGGAATTTTCATATATAGTCAATTCTTCCACAACATTTATTTTGAAAACATCAGTTTATCAGGGAACAATTTGAATATAATATAAATTCTGCATTTGCTTAGGTATAAATTCACACACAAAGAACACTAGGTCAATGCAGAAAACTGCACCCAGCTGGATTGAGCCATCTTAGGATACATAAAACACACACACACGCTCATATATACACCTCTAAATATCTACCAGATATCCTAGTTCACTGCATGTGTTATGAGCCAAGCCCATGTATATCTGGTGTTACAATTTCCCGTCTGATTTTGGGTAACCAACTGTTGGGAAACTATTTTCTGTGACTATTTTTTTATATCTGCATTGTCTGGCCTTTTTGAGCAGAGCACTGGTAAACTGGGACAAAGGAAATAGCGAACTTGCCTTGGAAGCTAGGGATAATGCATTACTCCAAAAAGATTTAGAAACTTACTTCAGAAATTTCTAACTAAGCTGCCACTTCCTTGTCCTCCAGGGTAATGAAACTACATTCTCCTTCCCTCCCCAGATAAGATCTGTTTACCTTCCAAAGTAAAGGCAGGTCTGTCTCTCTCTCTGACTAAAAGAATAAAGAGATCTGCCAGCAGCCTGTGAAGGCTCAGAGTGTCCTAACTTTGGTGTTCCTCTCCTGTGGTGAAATCCCACTGCATGGGCAAGGTAGTATCAAGCCCTCACTGCACTGTATCACAGAATTTGAGGAATGTGAACTGGCAGATGCTCTGAGTAATAAATGGTCTATTCTCTGATCCAGGGACCTTGGGTTTCCCATCAGAATCTATACTCATCCACCCATACATCCATCCACGGACCTTAATATTCCCTTTCCACCAATTCATAGTAACTCACAACCTAAAACCCTTTTGAAACCTACTTCCACAAGCAAACTTCAGGTCTTTTTGGCATTAAAATGGCATATGTATTATAGTTTTTATGAATTTCCTAGCCATTTAACATGTATAAAACTAGGTCATCATTTTTATTAACGTGTCATGATAAAGTTTTTGTATAACAGTAATTTTCGTATTACATGGTGTTTTCTAAGGTATGCATATATTGTGTTAGAACTGACTCTGTAGTCTGCTAAAGCTTCTTTATTGGCATAGATTAGAATAAGGACAATGACATATAGAGGCTTAAGTGGTTAGGAGGAGTATTATGACTTATACGTGGATTTATTCATAATAACCGTATCTCCAATTTTCCCAAATTACTTGGAAAAACTGGGAATTGATCATACTAGTACTTTCATTTTTGAAGTATGTTTTTCTAATTATATCAGAATATAATTATTTTCATGGCTATAAAATTTTATGAAACTCCAAAAAAAAAAAAAAAACACCTCACCATTGGAAATTAAATTGTCATCTGTATCAGTGATATCCTCTGGAATTTCATGCTTCTGAAGAGAACAATCAGATGATTTTTTACACTTTGGAAAACTGAAGTCAAGTTTCTTTTCTGATATCTCACTCTCCATTATCTTTTTCCTAATAATTTCCTCTTCAAACTTCATGTTTTTGTTCGATGAATATATGTTCCTAAAAGACATAATATAAAATATTAAAATAACATTGGTGATTCTTTTTATAAAAAGCAAGCAAGTTTCCCTAGTGCTGATTTCACACATAACGTACATTAAAACCTTTTTAATTTGGACCAACCATAGAAAGGTCAATCTAAAGCAGCAGAAAGTTTGAAAAGTAGCTTATAAATGTTTTTAATGTTAAAAAGTACCATATAATGCCAAAAAAATTAGATAACTTAGATAAACGAATAATTCCAAGAACGACACAAACTTCCAAATCTGACTTAACATAAAGAATATCCAAGTAAATCTGTAACAAGTAAAGAGATAGAATTAGTAATCAAAAACTTCGCCCCCCAAAAAACCTGGGGCCAAGTAGCTTCACTAGTGAATTCAGTCAAATGATTAAAGAAGAATTAACACTAATCTTTCTGAGATTTTTCTAAAAACAGAAATAGAAGGAACACTTCCCAACTCATTCTATGAGGCCAGTCTTACTCATATAAAAGTAAAGACATGACAAGGAAAGAAGAACAGAGTCCAATATTCTACATTAATACAAATGAAAAAATCTTCAACAAAATAATAACACACTGAATCCACCAACATATAAAGGGAATTATATAGCATGACCAATTTGGGTTCATCTCAGGAATTCAGAAGTACTTTAAACATAAGAAAATCAGTGTTATACACAGTATCAATAAAGATAAAAATCACACAGTGATCTCAATTAATGCAGAAAAATCACTTGACAAAGTCTAATACCCTGTTTGTGATCAACAAACTAGAACAGAGGGGAATGTCCTCAACTTGTAAAGGACATCCACAAAAAACTCACAGCTAACATCATACTTAACGGTAAGACAGAAAGCTTTCCTCTGAGCATAAAGAAGGATGCTCATTCTCTCATTTCTGCTCGACATTTTACTGGAGGTTGGTTCTAGCCAAGGGAATTAGGGAAGAAAGAAAAGGCATCTGGGCTTGGCGCCTGTGGCTCAAGCGGCTAAGGCGCCAGCCACATACACCTAAGGTGGCGGGTTCGAATTCCCAGCCCCGGCCAGCCAAACAACAATGATGGCTGCAACCAAAAAAATGGCCGGGCGTTGTGGCGGGCACCTGTAGTCCCAGCTACTTGGAAGGCTGAGGCATGAGACTCGCTTGAGCCCAGGAGTTGGAGGTTGCTGTGAGCTGTGATGCCACAGCACTCTACCCAGGGAAATAGCTTGAAGCTCTATCTCAAAAAAAAGAAAAAAAAAGAAAAAGCATCTTAATGAGAAAGAAAGAAGTAAAACTATCTCTATTTACAGCTGACAAACATGTATAGAAATG